CAAGTAGAAGGAAGAAAAGACTGATGTTATCTAGTAAGTCCTAGAAGAGAAAGGAAGTGTGTTGAAAACTAGAAGAAAATGAGGAAATTGGAGCAGGGGCTGGATTAAAATTTTTTTATTCTTTGCTTTGTGCTCAGCTGGCGTGGCTCAGTGGTTGAGTGTCGACCTATGAACCAGGAGGTCATGGTTTGATTCCCAGATTCTAGGTCAGGATACATGCCCGGTTGTGGACTCACACTGTGGGGGGGTGGGGCGGGTTATTCTCAAAAGCGTTCCTTTGTGCTCAGCTGGCGTGGCTCAGTGGTTGAGTGTCGACCTATGAACCAGGAGGTCATGGTTTGATTCCCAGATTCTAGGTCAGGATACATGCGGTTGTGGCCACCAGGAGGTCATGGTTTGATTCCCAGATTCTAGGTCAGGATACATGCCCGGTTGTGGACTCATTCCCCACTGTAGGGATTGTGCACAATCCGATCCAGGAGGCATCGGATCAATGATTCTCTCTCATCATTGATGTTTCTATCTCTCTCTCCCTCTCCTTTCCTCTCTGAAATCAATTTTTAAAAAAGTATATATATTTTTAAAAAGTGTTCCTTTGTGCTCTGGGGTGACCGCAGAGCAGCCACATATCACTGGAGATGAGATCTTCTGGCTGTGCAGCTCAAACCAAGAAGAAAGTGATAAAGGCAGAGAGTAGGGAGTGAGGCCCTAAAAACCAAGGACAGGGGAGGCCAAACCCCGAAGGCACAGAATGGATTGCCAGCTGGGCCTTGCCAGGCCAAAGGGACAGGGCTCCTGCTACAGAGAAGCGGATTCCCCAAACAGGGTCTGCTCCAGCCCAGAGCCACGCACACAGAGAGAAGTGGCCTTGTTTTTCAAGAATTCATCAGGGATGTCACAATCCTGGAGTGATGTCAAAACTGCCTCAAGGGTTATGAACTCTGGCCTTGAAGATGAGTCAACAGAGGGTGGGTTTCAGAGAGCAGCCTGCTGTTTACACACAATCCCCTTGGAGATCTGCATGCAGTTGGAAGGCTAGTCAAGGGCTGTGACAGCAGGCAGGCTGGCTCCTCACAGAGCCTTACAGCCTCTAGCAGAAACCACCAGCACTCACCCGGTGCCCAGAATGCTCCCCCTCTTCAGCATCTATGAGACATAAGCATTCTGAGAGGGACTCACTCCACCCAAAACCATCCAGTGCCCACCTTGAAACACACAAGCAACCTGAACCCTTATTGCTCCCCGCCCACAGGACCCAGAACAACCCTTCAGAGGGGGTATTCTGATTCCGCCTTTGGGAGATTCCTTCCAGTGACTCCACCTCCCAGTCTCCACCCATTTCTTCACCACTCCGCCACAGGGCTGA